CGGCTCGAAGTGTTCACCGTTTCACTGTATGCGGCTTGCTGTCGCATTCATTTAGAAGAACGCAAAAAACAAACGTTCTCCTTTTTTGCAAGGCAATATTCCCACGCTTTCAAACAGCCATCATCACACTTACTAGACTCCCAACGCACTCTTTGTTTCCCCATGCACGCAGCGCACCGACCGCCACTTCTGGCCAATAGAACGTCACGACTGACACTGCCTATGAATCACTGCTGCACAACTCTACAAAAGCCCTTCCAAGCTGCAGCCGTAAACGACCGGCGAATTATTGCTTCCTGACCGAATAAAACGAATATTTGAAACAAGTTGCACTGAAGCGGCACTCAATGTCTGCCAACACCACCTGTCAGATATAGCTCCCAGCTGGTGCAAAGTGTCTTCGTGACTTTTGTCTTATGTGCGTGGCTTTGAGCGGCTCCACAACACGCCACAGCCAATGGACGCCAGGCTTTAAACTGACAGCCATTGATGCCTCAACCCAACACAATCTCTCGCCTTTTCGCTTGCAGCACCTCTAGGCCATTGACGCACATCCTGTTTCTCCTCACGCAAGCAGCGCACCTAGATTCGCTTCTTCTTAATACAAATACATCTTCACTGCTCGCGCTGCATGCACTCGCTTGAATGCTGCACAACTCTACTGATTCCAGGTAGAACTACGCTCGTAAATTCTAGATGAATCAGTATCGACTCACAAAGTGCAAACAAGAACGTTTGCAGATTGCCATGAAACGCCTACTATTTTCTACAAAACCACCTGCAGGAAAAGCATCATGCCTGCAGTGATTTCCCTTTGTCTGGATGCGCTCCACCTCACTGGTGTGCAGCTCCAAAGGCCATCAACCTGCTCGTGAAACACGGCAAACCAAAACCAGCGTCATGTGTTCGGCCTGGCCGAGTCAAAGACATATGTGGAAGCTGGATGACAGGGTAATAGAACAAAAATACCTCAATAATGCACTCTCCTTGTTACTAAAACCGCAATGCGCTGGAGCCAAACATTGAATTAAAAGTCAAAAGCGGCAAGACTCGCATGCAGACTTCATAGCCACGCACTAGCGTATCTGCGCGACAAACGCGCAACCGTTGGAGAAGCCTTTCCGCGGGCGTCGCTGCATAGATGCCTCGAATATTGTCGTGGGCGTCGTCTTGCTTGTCGCCCTGCTGAGAGCCCGCTGAGCAGCTTCATCACTCCCAAATACCCTTTGCACGATTTACTTCACCTACTGCGTCTGCACTCCCAACTCAGCAAGCCAGCCGATCCTCTTCAGCACCAGTATTGTCGTTCGCTGCCACCATGCAAAAAACCCTTGAAACGTAAGAAATGCAAGGTGCGTGGTAGAAGTATTCGCCGTTTCTGTGAGATCCAGTTGCAGTCAAAACAAAAGCGCCAAATGCCCTGCTGCACGCATTCCTTTTCCGATCTCCCTTTGAAACAGCGGTCAACACTGTTCTGCTTTTCACAGTCGCCTGTGACCAATCCTACAACATCATGCATCTGCCCGACACCGTGCTACAGAGATACAAAACATGGAGATAAGATCCTACGCAGTTTCTTTTCCGTATATATCCAAAACCTGTAGACTCTCAACGCCCTCTTTGTTTCCCCATGCATGCGGCGCACCGACAGCCACTTCTGGCCAATAGTACTTCACGGCTGACACTGCCTATGAATCACTGCTTCACAACTCTACAAACGCTCATCCAAGCTGCAGCCGTAAACTACCGGCAATATACTGCTTACTGACCGAATAAAACGAATGTCTGGAGCAGGTTTCACAGGATAAGTCGCACGTCACTTAACCTGCATAAGGAGCTTCCATCTCGATGTGCCACGTGACTGCGACGCAAGTGCAGGGGACTTCATAGTGCGTCGAAGGCACGCCGACGATCAAGCAGCACCATGCGGCCAAAGTTGAAGCTCCTAACACAAATCTAAGATGCCAGCATCAGGAAAATAGCGTGCTCGGATTCCAATTGCTCATTTTGCTGACTGTCCAAACCAGACTTAACTTAAACTGCGTAGCGAAACTGTGCTTCACAAATGCAGAAAGTATTTTACGTGCAGCCAGTCACTTCTGCCTGAGCTGCAAAAGCAATATCACGAGGCAGTTGCCTGCATGATTTTTTTGCGCAACTACGTCGAATTTAGCTATGCACTTTATGTCACCCTTTACTATCGAACATGAAGCCCAAGCGATCTCAGCGATACCGACAAAGCCCTCGACAAGATACCCCAGCCACTGTGCCTGTACACGCAGCAGACCCCACCGGAAGTTCATGACCGTACGTCATTGCCAATATACGCACAAACATGCCGTGGCGCTCGGAACGCTAATTACATACTTGGTGTTTCTAGGGTTGCCATGCAGAGCATTAAAAATTGAAAAACGAGTCTGCATTTGAGTAATGAACGGCAAAAGAGAAACGCTCTCATCCCCGCACCATCTATTCAATCTCGTGTGTTCTTATTTCCGCGCTACATCTTCTATCTCGTTCTTAGCGGTCCTCAAAATGCATGCGTACTTAATGGGTGCTACAACCGGCTCTGACTGATTCGCAACAGGCTACAGCTACTGAACGCCAGGCATTTAAGCAGCTACCCACGACACCTCAATCCTGTACAATGTACCACCTCTTCATTTGCAGCACCGCCTGGACAACAACGCACATCCTACTTTCCGCAAAGAAAGCACGCACCTAAAATCACTTTTGCCAAGTGCGTTTTCACTGCTGATGCTGCATGCAAGTAAATGCTGCACAACTCGATTGGCGTCGAACAGAACTATACTTGTAGATTCTAGATGAGTGAGTTTATACGGACAAACAGCAGCAAGCAGTCTTGCATAAAGTCATCGAGCCCCACCCAGCTTCAGCAGCGCTACCTGCAGCAAGCGCCATGCAACACAGCATAGTGCCTGCGCAGATCTGCCCTGTATAGTTGCGCGCCTGCGCACTGCCACGCAAGTCTAGAGACCGTCACACATCTTGTGAAATACTCCAAAACGCATTCAGCTTTCTGCGTTCGACGCGGCGGTCAAAGACACACCCAAAAGGATGATAGCTCGGTAGCAGCATGCGTACACCCCAATACAGTACTCTGGTAGACACGAAAAGAGCATTGCGATACAGTCGCAAACTGAATCTCTAGCGTACAAGTGCAAGATTAACGCCTTTGCTGCTCTGCCAGGCAGCTTTTCTGGCGCGAGGCAAAAGCAACTTTGTGCGGAGGCACCTCGCGGGACTTCTCTGCAAAGATGCGTCGGAACTTACCTCGCATTTGTACATGGCCACCCCTCCCGATTATGCAAACTGCGCGCTTTCACAACCCTCAATCAACTTTTCGATAACTCACTTCAGCCTCTTTGCATGCAAATTCCACAGACAAAACATTGTCAGGCAGCTAGGTGCTCCGAGCATGGTCCTCTGCTTTTCTATCACTTCCAGCATACTTCGAGACAATCAAAAAAACACAACTGCGCAATGCATGCTCAGAGTTTTCACAATTTCAACGCATGTCGTCTCCCTCTGGCGAACACGCGCTGATGCCACAAAACAAAACACGCAAACGCTTTAATGTCCTCATCAGCTGCCGGATTTCCTCGTTCATGTGGGCCAATTGCGTCCATCATTATCAACTGCGACCCATTCCACATCAGTTTACAACCATCAAATTCCAAGCATTAATGCTACCATTCTCGACACTCCATCCTATGCAGTTTCTCATTCCTTCCTTTGCAGCGCTCTCCACTTACCTTACTCACCTTCAGCATGCACGCAGCGCACATATTAGCAATTTCTGACCAGCACGGGTTCAATATTCATGGTGCGTTTCAGTGACTGGTGCACAACTCTACAGATGCTCGATCAACGCGTAGTGGTGTCCGCCGACGAAAACAAAGTAAACGCGGCAGCAGAGTGCCGTGAAACGCCACTCACCTACCGCAGAGTTTCCTGCAGTAAGGACTAAGCGTCACGTCACCCTGTCTGCATACGTGCACTTTGGCTGGCCGCGCTACTTTGTTGGCAAGCGATTGCAAAGGCCTACAAGCTGTTCGTCAAATCTCGCGAAGCCACACGCAGCATAATGTGATCACCGTGGCGGTGTTATGGAAAAAGCATGAAGGTGGATGGCAATGGCGCAACAGCGTACAGCTGTTCCACCGGCTCGCTTGTAGCTGCCACAAATGGCTACACTAGGGCCCCAAAACGTATCTGTGTCATGAATTCAGCAACGCAAGATTTACAACTTTGCGTGATAGCCCGTCGCACATCTTTGCCTGCGCAGTTGCGTGGACATTCGCTCTCTGCCTCCAAACAAATATCCTTTCGCGCACTTCTGATGGCTTTCCAGGTATTGTGAACAGGTTTTCGCTGCATTTCCTACATATACTGCGCCCAGCCGGAATCAAAGGACTGTCGGCTGCCTGATGCGCCGTTGCAAAGCATCCCTCACTTTTCACCCGGCTGCTTGGGCTTTATAGTCACGCGGCATTGCGGAACATGTATTTGTTGCACGTACCAGTCGCGCCTTTGGCAATATCTTTCTGATTCTGGTTTCCCGCTGTCAGTTACCCGGCACAAGCAGTGCAGTTTCAGATTTCCCATTTTCGCCACTCAAAGAAGGTAAAATGCACCCTATGGATGCCATAACAGTTCGCCTTTTGCTTTCCCTGCAAAGTTTCAACCTGATCAGTCTTTGTCGCTGTCTAAACACCTCAAAGGGTGATCAAAGGCCATGCTTTTGAATAGCTGACTCAACAAGGCAAGTCGTCTTGACAGTGTGCTGCATAATGACGATGCAGCAATGCAAGTGATACCAAGATAAGCTTTGCTTTGCGGACATAAGCAGGCGTACCTATCGGCAGGCAACTTATAAAGTTATTCATATCGCTGTCGCTGGCCAACAGAACACGCAGCGCTCGAGCTTTGCAGCTGGCTTCTGTTGCCAGATTGCATAGCTCCCCGTAGCCTTGGCATCAGCTGTGGCTAGTGCTCTGAAACGTCTCGCCTTTCCAGTCACTCGTGAGATCTTCGCCAGCTTGGTGCGGTGCGGACAACGGTACCGACGTAAAGCAAGTGACCAACGTCACGACGCACCCTAGAAAACTACCACAATGTGAACCGAGAACACTTGGTATCAGCACCACACGTTTTAAAGAGCACATTTCAGATTTGAGGAACAACTGTGATGCCTGAAGGCTACAGCTCATCATCAGACTACGTTTTTCAGCGGCGCTTACAAAACAAGAGTCGTCAGGAGCTTCTGCAAGTCTCCGCGTGCCATATTCTGTTTTTTTGCCTGCTCGGATTCCATTGAAGCACTTCGTCACTAAAAATGTTACAGCGAGAGCGGCCGCCAACACGAACAGTGTGCAGAAGCCTAGTGCTGTCCGTCGACCTCTACGAACCGGGACAGAGAAGCCTTTATTTGTAAGTGTTTCAGCTTCTAAAGGCATATCCATAAGCTCAACGAGGTTGGCGCATCTCCCTTCATTGGCGCCGTGGGTTGCCAACCATGCGAGCGAAGTAGGAATAAAGAAATGTAGCGGGGCGCGGTACATCTTGGGCGAGAAGAGACCCCCATAACTTGGATTACGAGGAACAAATGCAAATGACTTTTGAAGTTTAGTTGGTGACTCAAAGAAGGAGGAGATAACTCAGGGAAGCAGCAAGATCTACTTTGCTGCTAGGACGCAAGGTCGGCCACTGAGCTGTGTCGGCACTGGTTCCACTGCTCGTGACTGCTTATTGAAACAGGCTTTGCAAACCATGTTTCTCGAAAGTTAGAAATGGAATTGCAGGATATTCTGGAGTTTAATTCGTCTTGTTCTATCGTTTACATCCTGTTAGCATGTAGGCTCTTCTTCTATTTTGTGTTGCTTCAGACTTGTAGAAATGCGGTTGGTCACACAGTCACAAATGCGCCTAACATTAGCGCATTCTCGTGGCATTTCGAAGAACATTGCTGTGCTAGACAACTTTGCCGCCGCAGCAAGCCGGTGTCCTAACTGATGATACGCTTCTATGCTAACCACTGTCCTCTTTTTGGCGCAGCGTTTTCGCGTAGTTGTACTAACGTGAAACTTTGGAAGCCTCCAGTTGAACATCTCCCATCTCGCATCTCTTTGAGGGTATCTCACACTTGACGAGTCTACAGCACTGACGGGCATTTTACTCATGATCTGCTGCTTTGCTGCTGAATGTTTTCATGTGTTTACACCACGTCGCACAGATGCTGCCACAGCGTGATTCCAAGTTTGTCTCACAATTCGTCCGTAGAAATATCGTGCGCTTGGGCGGTTTGCAAAACATTTTCCCAGGGCACCAGCCAATCCACACTACAAAACGACGCATGAGAGTGGGTGATCCGTGAAACAGAGGAACCGTTATTGCGTGTTTTCAGAGTCTGTGTGCGGCTGCGTACCCACGTAATTCTCCCCTTGAAAGCGAGCACTTGCAGCAGGCGTATCTGTTGCATTGTACCCTCTCGTGTGTTTCTGCATAGAAGCATGGTTTTGACGCACTACAGCCTCTTGTAAGTCCTCTTCAGCCGGTGGCCCTCACACAAACAAGCGCCGCTGGGGGGCCTACACTAGGTCGTTCTCCTTCCAGCGTTTCCCCGACTGCCTCTTTAGTGCCTCGTCTCCTACTAGACCTTCTTTGACCTATGAAGTTTCTACATTCTCTGATTTAATGCCAGCTGTGTGGTCCTAAATCCTATTGGGGTGGCTTATACTCTCGGTATTACCCTTTCTAGTGTGGTTCTAGCATCCATGGAAGCCTGAATCTTCTGCTTCCAACATTCGAAATTCCCCTCCTGCTTTTGTCATGTCTTCACCGGTATTTTCATGATGTTTGTCAGCATCTGTTTTAATGTTTGGAGCTCGTGTACACGACACCTTTATACAAACTTGTAACAAGAGCTGCTTATGTTAGCTGAGAGTTCAGAACACCCACTTCCGCTTTGTCCTCCTGTCTCCCCTGAAGCATCACGGTCAAGCCTTGAAGCGCTTTTACTTTCAATATCCTGCCATAGTGTCGAGGCCGAAATTGTGGCAGTCCCCGAAGTCGAGCGACTCGCGCTGTTCTTGTTTCCACTGGGTGTTTAGTAGTTATTTAGGAACCTTTATAGCCCCTTCAGTTCAGCTGGAAGTGTAAAGAGGAAGTAGTATGCAGTTGACGGACCTGCATAAGATTCACGAGACTTAGCCCGTGTGGCGTCTGCACGCGTACCCAGAACACAAACAGCCGGAGCCTGTGGCATGTTCGCCCTAAATGTTAGCTGGACATGTCTCACAAGACCTAAAATAGAGCCGAGGAAGACCCCTCGCCGACGGGAATAGTGGAGTAGAAACCAACAATCCATTAGCATCCAGCCTGTATAAGCTCTGCTGCCCTCCTCTAGGACAATGGTCAGCGAACTGCGTGCAATAATTGCACCAGCTCACAGGCGCTGCATTTTTCATAAATATTGTAGAGGAGTAGAACTTTGACTGTGGCAGGAATAGATTCTCTTCTAAAAGTGAGATACATGCTGGTTCCTGTGGCGATGCAGGACCTGATGATGTGGTACACCACAGTTTTCAGTGGCAGATAAGTGAAATTCACACCTCTTGCTGCCCTCTTCGTCGACGCAAAATAGTTATGCATTTGTGGCTATTAAATTACAGGAGTGGATTTTGCACTCGTTGGCCCTATGTTGACTTAAAGCGCCTCATATTCTTCGAGTTAATCTCATCGATGCCCCAAGCCAATTCCAGTGACAACGGCAGTGTTTCGTTTAAACCGCTTCAATCTATCGTTTCCATTGCCAATTCACCACATTCATGGATACGTCTTCAAGTTGGCGACGGACTAATACACAACATTACGCTGAATGAAAACACGCGGCTAACATCCTGAAGCGTGAATATGCACATCCTAGTTTCAGTGAATCTTCATTTGAGTTAAGCAACGCCGATTGCTTCGGTGATTTAGCCGATGCTAATGGCCTTAGGGCTTGATTGTAGCCTTTCGAAGGTTGAAACTACACCGAAAAAATCTGTAGTGAGGTCTTGAAGAAGGGCACCTAGGCCCAGCAGTCCAGATGCCGGGCCTGGGACGGGCTCCGCACTGATCCGCTTCTAGGCTGGGAGCTGCAATTCCTCTGAGACTTTTAGAAATATTTGTGCCGATGGTATAATTTCACAACAGTGGGCCACCAATAGTCACCTGTTGCGTCCATGCGCTGAGTCTGATTACAGGACTGAGGAAATCTGCTGGCACCTGCGGAGCTGCATAATTTGCCACCCTTTGACCTTTCGAAATCCTGACGGGTGAAATGCCGCGAAGAGAAAAAGACGCAGATTCCCCGCTGCAGCTGCAGCCGGAGCACAGAAAGAATACTGTGCGACCCAGAGTCGTCTTGTCTGAGGATCTGCAGGGCTATCGCGGGCGGATCTTGCCGGACTTGTTAGCATCTTCGGAAAGCCCCATTTACAGAATTTCTGTATTAATCCTTTTCAGAGACATTCTTCCAACATCCTCGCCGCACCGTAGTGGCTTTCAGTTGTAACTCGCACGAGACAGCATCAGATCGACGCTGGCCACCCGTTCAAGAGGATGGCGCACACTGGAATGGCATTTCAAAAGCTGGAAAGTTCGGAAGGACTAGATTCAGCGTAGGGCTTGGAACAAGAGAAAGAAGCTTAAGCTGAAGGTGCCGCGAATGGAATACTTGAATTCAGGGCTTGGCTAAGAAGCCAAGCCCTGAATTCAAGTATTCCATTGGAAAACCGCCTTCGCAACACTTCCAACACTAAGATTTGTGGCAGCAAACGGAACAAAAAGCGACGCACGGAAATCGTTTTATAAAACATAAATAAAGAAATTATTGTTGAGCAACTCGTGGAAATGTTGCTGAAAAATGCTGCTGCGGTGCTTTCAACAGGGCACAAGGGCAGAACAATGGGGACAATGGGGCATTTTGACGTTGACCAGCAGGCCCTCCCTCTAGCAGTGACCAGGCGTCCGCAAGCTCCTTTTTCGGAGGAAATACCAGTACATGAATTTTGTTTAATCATTTATCCACTTATTAGTCTTTATTATTCAGATAGAAGCCGTGAAAAGGCATGCGGCAGCCCAGTTCGTGTTGCCGAAACCACCAGCAACCTCTAAAACACACGATGAGTGAGAGCGGATGTAAAAGTTTACGGTTTAGGGTGTAGGGTTTACTATTCAATAGTAAACAGGGCCACAAGGGGATGCCTTTCGCTGTAAATGTGCTGGGGAACCACTGCTCCACTCTTTAGGAAAGGAAGCTGCATTACCAGCACCTCTTGTAAACATTGAGGCAACAAAGCTCTTGTTTCAATCACCACTATTGTTCTTTTGTTGACTCTTCTTTCTTGCAAAGCGCGAAAAGTCCTCCCCGTGTTCTGCCACGGCACGCTATGCTTCCCTGAACTCAAACCTAAACCTTCGACCGCGAGCCCTTAACCCTTCACCCTACACCCTAGACCCTCAAACATAAACCTTAGGCCTTGGAGCTTAACCTTAAACCATCAAGCAAATACTGAGCCATCAGGCCTATACCTTAAACCCGCACGAAACTGCAAGCTCTCAACTCCAAATCCTAAACCTCAGATCTAAGTGCCCGAAATTCATTTAAACCCTAAACTCTCAGATGTAAGCCCAAATATTAAAGTCAGATCTTCCACATCACGCTTGAGATCCAAAACCCTCAAATCTGCACATGCAACCCTCATTTTGAAACCCTAAATCCCCGAACCTAAGAAGCCCTGAACCCCCTGACCGAAACACTAAAAGCTCAAACCCACACCCTAAACCCTACATTGTGTACTGTCATTGACGAAATACTGCTCTGTAGACTTATTTCTGCGCTCATAGCCAAGTAGCAAAGTGGGGAGCCATCCCATGCAATTAGCTCCTTAATGAGCCGCGAAGAGGCACTGCAGCTTCATACTAGCAGTGCATCTGTTTGGCTAGCTCCAACTGCCTCTTCAGCGGCAGCTCGTGAATGAATAATTAAAGTACACCAAGCTTTAAGTAGCAGAGTCAGAAGCCCTCGATCTTTGCCGCTCCTGTCTCTGTTTCTGCTGTCTCATACGTGTGGCTGCTGGTGTTGAGTCTTCTGCTGCTGCTTTGGCTGCTGGTGCTGTAGTCTAGTACACAGCTGCTGCAGCTCTGTAAGCAGGTTTCTCGTAAAGTAAGCATGCTTTTGAATCCAAATTAATCCTGCTTTGTCTTTCGCCCTCCTCACATGCTGCCACTGCATATGCTGCCTTGTTTATTGCGGCTGTGCCTGCAGCACTGTAGCAGCAGCACCAGATTCGCCAGAGGTCAAAACATCGTGCTGCTGCTGCTGTTACTCGCAGCCTGTGGCCACACAACTTGATTTTGACGAAGATTCCCTAGTTGCTGCCCCTGCCTCTGCTGCAGCGTCTGCTACTGCTGCCACAACGTCTACCGCTGCTGCTTTCTGCCGATTCTGCTGCTGCTGGTTTGCTGCTGAAGGTGTGCTTGGCCCATCAATTATCTCGTCCCATCACATCGATACTTC